ATATGCCCTGCTGGCTTCTGATTGGTTCTTCTGCAGAAGCTCTCTGTCTAGAGGTTGCTAAGTCAAGCTGTTTGTATAGAGGTAGGGGAAACTCTCTGTCTAGGGTAGTGGTTCTGGCCCTTTAAATACAGTTCCTCATGTTGTGACCCAACCATAAAATTATTTTCGTTGCTACTTCATAACTGTAATGTTGCTACTGTTATGAATCGTAATGTAAATATCTGATATGCAGGACGGTCTTAGGCGACCCCTGTGAAAGGGTCGTTCGACCGCCAAAGGGGTCGCGACCCACAGGTTGAGAACCGCTGGTCTAGGGGTAGGGGAAACTCTCTGTCTAGGGGTGTTAGTCTTCCCTGCCTAGTTGGGTTGTCCCAGCAACTCCCTCCTAGCTGGGTTTTTGCCCAGCCAGAGTGCCTTAACGACTAGTCAGCAAGCTGTATCCCAGTGATGGTGAGCCTTTTGAGCTCGGCGTGTCAGCATTTTGAGAAACCCGAACTTAACTCTGGTGCCGTGTCACATATAGAAATTTTTTGAATTTGCAACCATAGTAAAACAAAGATTTATATTTTTGATATTTATTTTATATATTTAAATGCCATTTAACAAAGAAAAATCAACCAAAAAAATGAGTTTGCGTGTCACCTGACACATGTGTCATAGGTTCACCATCACTGCTGTATCCTGTTATTCTTGGACTTCCCTATTTTCCTTTCCTCCCATGGTCCTGTCCCTAACTACCAATCCCCTCTTCTATCTCCTCAATATCACTTGTATGTGGAAACTTTTGTTTTAAGCCAATGTCATAGAAACAGAGTAGAATTTTGGTTGCCAGGAACTAACTGGGTGGTGGGGGGAACATGGAAGGAGGGAAATGGGGAGACCTAGGTCAAAGGGTACACCTTTCAGTTATAAGATGAATAAGTTCTGAAAATTTAATGTACAATCGGGGGAAAAATAATTTCCAATGAGGAAATACTAATGGATTGCATTAGCTCAGGCCTCTATTTAAAAATATATATATATCATCGACTGGGTAATTTAAACAACAGAAATGTATTTCATTACAGTTTTGGAAGCTGGAAGTCTGAGATCTGGGTGCCAGTGAGGTCAGGCTGTGGTGAGAGCTCTCCTCCTGGCTCACAGAGAGCTGCTTTCCCACTGTGTCCTCACGTGGCAGGGGAAAGAGCGTTCCTCTCTATTTCTTCCTCCCGTCTAATGCCATGGTCCTATCGATTAGGGCCCCATCCTAATTTAACCCCGATTACCTACTAAAGACCCTATGCCTATCTCACATTGGGAGCTAGGGTTTCAACATATGAAATTGATGGGACACAATTCAGTCCATGTCATGGATAATAAACATTTGAAAATATACTCAACCTTATGTGAACATCAAAGACATGCATATTAAAATAATAGTTGGTAATTTTCAACCACTATATTCTCAAAAATTAGAATAATTTATTGACAATAGCCTCTGTTGACAAAGGTATAGGGAACCTTTTCATTCACCACTGGAATAATAAAATTTTGCAAATTTTTGTATGCTAAGAAGGAAATATTTATCAAAAATCTAAATTTTTATTTATTCAATTCAGTAATCTTATTAATTAGAACTTTTTTATGGCAATTCTTACAAGATAATGGAAACACATATTTAAAGATTATTCTTTACATTATTGATCATAATTGCAGTAAATCTAGAAACAGTCTAAACTCCAACAGAAGGAATATGGTTAAGTAAATTATGATTGGTTCATAAATTAACATTAGGCAGTCATTAAAATGGATAAGGTAAGTTTTAGGTATTTGACTTAGGTGAAAAAGTCTACCGTGTCAACAATAAAACATGACATAACATGCCCCTATTGATAGAAAATATACAATATGTTTATATTGTATAAACATGTTAATGTTAACATAAAAATTATAAACATGTTTATATATGTACAAAAAAATAGAAAAGGACCAAATTCTTAACAGTGGTTTCTTTTTTCTTGAAAATTAAATTATTAAGGATGAGAACACATGGGGTGACGTTTTTTACTTTAATTTTTCACTGCTAAAATTTTGTCTTGTTTTTATTTTTATAAACATAGTTTCTAATGAAAACTTTTTAATCAATATGTATTTCCATTTTAGAAAAAAGAAGGCACCTAAAACAAAATATAAACTCTGCACTGTTAAATACCACAGCATCTTGCAATGTAGACAGGGCACTGGAAATCAGTGTCTCAATAGACCGACGCTCTATCCAGTGAGCCAAACCTGTGAGGGCTAGGTCTGAATTCTTGAGGGGAGTCCTGTGTAAGAGCAGTTGGGGAGCTGTTTCAGGGAAATCCTGGAAGGAAGGGGTGCTAATACTTGGAACTAGGCTGCGATTTTCCATATTCCAGTTTGGAGAGAATCTTTGTTGGTGCATTTTTGGGGACCCAGGCAGAAAATAAGCGAAGGGCTGCCTGTAGGACCACCAATCTCCCAAGATACAGAGCTTCCTGGGTTTCAGAAAGCCTTCCCACTATGTCCTCACATGGCAGGGAAGCACATCTGGAGTGAAAAGGGTAGCTACGACAAAATGGTAATGAGCCAAGGATTCTGGTCTACAGAACCTGCACACCCTTTATCAGGGAGAGCCTCCTGGGGAACAAGAAGTCTCACTCTTATCAAGTCATCTGGCTCAAGGATCTATGGAAGGGAAGGACCAGGTGCTGTGATTCTAGCCTCCTGAGACACCTCTCATGCAGGGGCTCGCTTCCCCATGAGCACTTTACGCAGGGCACCCTGTACATCAGGGTTCCGGAGGCTGTAGATGAGTGGGTTCAGCATAGGGCTGATGACAGTGTTGAGGATGCCAATCCCCTTGTCCTTGTCTGAAGCCTCCACTGAACCCAGACGCATGTAGCTGAAGATGCCTGTCCCGTAGAAGATGCCAACCACAGTGAGGTGGGAGCCACATGTGGAGAAGGCCTTCTTCCTGCCCTCCACTGAGCGGATCCGTAGCACTGCAGCTGCCACATGGATGTAGGAGGTGACAATAAGAACCACAGGTGCACCTGCCATGAGGATACCCAGACCAAAAAGCAGCAGCTCATTGAGTTGGGTGCTGGAGCAAGAGAGCTGGAAGAGCTGTGGCAGGTCACAGTGGAAGGGATTGATCACTGTGATGCACCCAACGTCCAGCACTGATAGGTTCCCCAGGAAGAAGTACATGGGAGTGTGGAGTTTGGGCTCCACCAAGATGGCAGCCAGGATGCTGAGGTTGCCCCCAACTGTGAGCAGGTAGGCAAAGAGGAAGAGCACAAAGACAAGTGGTAGCAACTCCGGTGTGTCCACCAAGCCCAGCAGGATGAATTCAGTAACGGCTGTTCCATTGGCCCCAGGTTCTGTTTCCATGGTTCCCTGTAAGAAGACATCTCACAGTGGAGGGGACGAGTCTTCCCAATTCAGTAAGTTCTCAAGTGTCTTAGTTGTTATTTTCCCAACCTGTAGGCTGTGCTTCAGTTACTAACCCTCTCTCTGTCTTCGCTTCAGTCTTTACCCAGCTTCTAGGTGAGTTGCCTGGTGCCTTGGCCACCCCACCCCCAGGACCTCGTGAAAGATATATAAATTATTATTTCCTTTGTTCCCTAGATTCAAGAAATGAGGTCCTCCCATCAACAACCTATATGAGGTTTTGGAGGGAAATAATGGGAAAAGTAGAAATTAACAGATGGTAAAATAGAAAGGAATTAAAGAATTGATTATAAGTCCTTTTAAAAAAATAGTACAAAGAAATAAATACCTAGAAAGTATCTAATCAATAAAAATGTAAAAATACACAAAACTAGGGATTGAAAAGGTGGTATAACCACAGACCAAAAATAAATCAAATAATAATGGAATACTACCTACTCCTAAATTTTAACAATCAATTCAAGGACAGTCCCCACACCACATAAACTAGCTACAAGGGAAAAATATATTGTCAATAATGTATTTCCACATGTAGGCTCCAGGCTCACATATTTCTTATACAAATTATGTTAAATTATCAATATAAATAAAATTACCACGCAACAGTTTTCTTACTTAGAAAAAATGGAAGCTTTTCAACTAATTTTTTAAGGTAGCAAATCTTAATACTAACAGCAAAAAAAGGAATTACACTATTCTCATTGATAACATTTGCTCCACTGTACTTCCTTTAAAAAAAATATTATTAGTACATGGAAATACTTAGGATTTTTAGAAGTCAGGAACACCAATCAGAAAACTATATATGCACTGCTATGTTCATAGCAACATTATTTACAATAGCTAAGATCTAGAAACAGCCCAAGTGCCCATCAGTAAATGAAATGATTTAAAAACTGTGGTTCATTTACACAATGGAATACTACTTGACCGTAATATAAACTTGCTGCTTTCTACCTATGTGATCTTGGGCAAAATACTTAAATGTTCTGTACTTCAGTTCCCTAATCTATAAAATGAAAATGAGAATAATAATCCTCAGAGGGTTGTTATATTCAGCATGTAATGCATGATATGTGCTGAGAAAGTTTCTGACACATAGAAAGTATTTAAAATATTAGCTATTGTAACCAGAGGCCTCAATTTCTGAACCCAATTATGTCTTCATTTAAGTTGGAATAATGAAAATAAGTTCCTAAATATTGAGAAATAACAAATCCAAGATGCAATGTCAGTTTCCCATCAATAACATAGGCCCTGAGTCACGGTGGGATCCACTGTGGATAATATTCAGCCAGAATCCACTGGTACAGGGTAGCAGTCTGGTGCTTGCTAAATATTTTTACCATAACCTCTATAATGGCTTTATTAGTACACTTAGTTATATTCACTATACCATGTATATAATATTATTGAGTCAAAGAAGGACCTGGTTGGTTGGTATCTTGAAGAGTATCTGCTCCCTCATTATACTAATGAGGAAACTAAGGTGAAGCATTTTGTGGTTAGATTTGTTGGGATTAGAATAAATATCAAATATACTTATCAAACTGTGGATAATATTCAGCCAGAATCCACTGGTACAGGGTAGCAGTCTGGTGCTTGCTAAATATTTTTACCATAACCTCTATAATGGCTTTATTAGTACACTTAGTTATATTCACTATACCATGTATATAATATTATTGAGTCAAAGAAGGACCTGGTTGGTTGGTATCTTGAAGAGTATCTGCTCCCTCATTATACTAATGAGGAAACTAAGGTGAAGCATTTTGTGGTTAGATTTGTTGGGATTAGAATAAATATCAAATATACTTATCAAATGTCTGGTTTTCATATATATATCATTGATTTCAGCAAGGAAGGGGGAGGGAGAGAGAGATAGAAACATCAATGATGAGAGAAAATCATTGATCAGCTGCCTCTTGCACTCCCCCTACTGGGGATGGAGCCCACAAGCAGGTCATGTGCCCTGACCAGGAATCGAACCTTGACCTCCTGGTTCATGGGTCGACGCAATTCTGGGCATGTGCCTTGACCAGGAATCATACCATGACCTCCTAGTTCATAGGTTGATGCTCACCACTGAGCCACACTGGCCAGGCCAAATGTCTGGTCTTCTTTTTTTTTTAAGTACCTGTTGCTGGGCCATCCCACTGTATGCTTACTAAAACCCAAACAACTGTGAGGCCACCAGAGAAAGGATTGTATGAGGACCCCAGAAATGTGTCTATTGGTCGGACCATCCCAAGATGGCTGCTTCCAACCCAGTCCCCAAGGTCACTCCTGATAGTTACTATGTTCTTCTGCAATTCTCTCTGGAGCTGCTCTGGACCACTCTTCTGACTGAGAAATCTGTTCCCGCACTTTGTGGCTGTGCCTTGCGAACCTCAGGCTCTCTTGTTCGCATACAGACCTGTCCCAACCCGCTTGTGAACAAGCAGGCGCTTTGGATAGGTAGGTGACAGTTACAATCGGCACCTGTCTCACTTCATTCTGCTTCTCAATTAACTCTGGGACTCTCCTTCCTCACCCATCCTGTGAGAACCTTTCCTCCGATATGTCTGTCTGAGTCAGTTTTTCTAAATCTGCCACCAAATGGCACAGACCCACAGGTTCCTAAAGGCACTTCTCGGGCGCCAACACCCTGCCTCCAGCCCTCTGCTTTCTGTTTTCTCCAAAGATTGCCCAAAGCAGTGGTCCCCAACCTTTCGGACCTCACAGACCACGAGTGGTCAGCAGACCACCAGTTGCCGACCGCTGGCCCAAAGGACACCAGCCTGCTTTTCATGCCTCTTCAATGCTGTATCCCATGGACTTCCACTGTCGAAGGTAGGCCGCAGTCTCTCCCACCCATGCCTTTGCAACCACCTCTCCAGCATCATAATCATCACTCTTTCTTGCTTTCCTCTCAAAATAGCACCTGAGTCTTTCCCATGTTACCCGTTTTTCTGAAAATTATTTATAGTGCATAAAAACAATGACAAACTATAGAAGTTTAGAGTATCTTGCAATGTCCTTGCCATGAGTATCCTCTTGTTCTATCTGGACAGTCCCTAGAAACCACCCCAGGCCTCTGGCTGTCTTCCACCCGCTGCTCTCTTGGCCAACAGACCCTACAGACATCCTCTTTTCTATAAAGGTTTGCTTTACAGATGCAAACAAGGCAGAGCAGCCACTGCAGACATGCTGGGATAGGCGGTGGCAGCCTCCAGAAACCAAATTAGGTTCCCATGTTGTGTGACTGTCAGTTTTAGGGGATCCTGCATAGAGGATTCCATGTGAATGAGAGAGAAATCTGATGCTGTGTCTCCTAAAATCCCCGAAATCCATTATTCTTGTTGTGTCACCCTCTGGGTCTAATTATAGATCTAGATCTAAACTCATTCAATAAACACTATCTGCATTGACATATCAATGGGAGCCAAACATCTCCCACACATATCAAATAATTAAAGAATAATTAAACTGCCTTCCAATTGCCCTCCCAAATCCACTCTAACTTGAGTTATAAGAATTCAAACTCTTTCATTTCATACCTCCTTATCTTTGCTCAAACTGTTCATTTTATCGGGAATGTTCTCTCACTAACCACAAGTGCTCAAATCCTTTAAGATTCAACTAAAAGTGTTTCTCTTCTATAAAAGTTGTCCTGATCCTTCTCCTTATCAAACTCGTCTCCCTAAACTCCTGCAACACTTTACTTGTATACTTCATAGTGCTTATATCTGCTAACCTCTCTAGAGCACCCCATTACTGCTGTACCCACTCTAAGTGGTTTCAGGACAGACTTATGCCTGACCCAGCACTGCATCCTCAATGCTCACCATCACGCTTTTCATACAGTAAGTGCTCAATATTTCTGAAATAAATAAGTGGATGAACTTGGCAACTAAGACCATAAGACAAACAAGTTTTCAGTGAAAGGGGGTATCAGATTGGGCTATCAGTTAGGAAAGGCTTTCTGGATGAGCTGGCATTTCCGCAAGACATTGAAGAAGTGGTATGATTTAAGGGAGGTGTAAGTTTGAGTAAAAGGCCAAAAGTACTTCTGTAGGACATTCCACTGCCTTTGTCTAGATGGGGCATCAGGAATAATCCAGACAGAAGTTCAAACAGTGCATCCACTGACATATGTCTTTTCTTGAAAACAGCCCAAAAGAATTTGGCAGCTAGGAAGGGATAGCCTCTATGAATAAATAAATAAGGCCAGGCAAGAAAAGGACACCCCACAGAAATACAATATAACCTCACTCTGTAGAGATAACACTTCTAACAAGATTCTAGGGTCACCAACAAGATTCTGGGATGACCACTGGTCTATCATCTAAGAAGTCCATCTTAAACAAATCACCTTGGTGAACTTAACTGAAGAGGCTATCGTAGATTACCATTCAGATGTCCAGAAGGAGCCGAGGCTACCTGATCTGACATTCCAGCTAAATCCTTTATACTTTCGATGATGAAGAATCAATCAGGGCCTCTGATGTAGGGTGTGGCCCACAGTTGCTACCTGAGAAGTGGGTCCAGCAGGAACACTGAATCTGATTAATGTCCTCACACTCTGATAAAAACAGAAAGCAGACTTCATCCAAGAATGAGAGACATTGGCAAAGTGGTCTGGCATAGAAGGGTCCCGGCTCTTTTCCTCACTTGCTGTGTTACTCTGAGCAAGACCCTTTCCCCTACTGAATCCTGTGTGAAATATTTTTGACTCACTGACTCACTTGGTAACAACTCAAGTTCCTTCTTCATTATTAGGGAGCTGAAGGAGGGCCCTGGAGTTGACTCACCTTGTTGCACGTACAGAGCCAGAGAGGTTTCCGGTGCAGGGAAAGGAAGAGGGTGAGGCATGTGCGGGCCTGAGCCGCAGGAAGCTAGGAAGGGCCATATGTAAGAAAATGAGTGAAAGCGAGATGAGATCATCTCTGTTGTGAGGC